CTGGTGCCCATTTTCCTACTAAGTGATTCACATTTTGCCACTTTACTAGAGTGCAATTAGCTGAAGCAGAAAAAAATGCTCAATATAAAGCAGCTTGGCTGAAATTGTTACTCAGCTTTTTAACAGGACCTGATGAAAATCTTGAGGACGTGTCGTGGGTGCGGGTGCAAGAAGCAACATTTTCATTTCTTTCCATGCAAACATTTCTTCCCTCTTACATTCAGAGAAGCAGAGTATGGGAAGTCACTGGAACATGCTGCACTGTTTTCTTTCTACTGATTTTTGGTATAGTCCTGTGAAATGACACCAAAAGTAAGCACAGTATTGGAGAGGAAATGTCTTTACAGTCAAAGCAAGGAGGTGGCTTCCATTCCTGGCTCTGCTACAGACTTACTGTGTCACCTAGACCAAGAATTTCTTTCATGCATTGGTTTTCATAGTTAATGTATGAGGATAACAAGTTAAGACCTTTTTGGTTGTCATCTATGTGAGTTAGAGGAATGTATTGGAGGAAAATCAGATGGATTGCACTGTTAGCGTGAAACGTACCTAGATGTGCATAATAACACCTGCCTTGCTGATGCTCCCACGTAGTAGCTGTCATTAAAAATGTCAACTGCTAACAACCTATTCTGACATTTATGGAAATAGGGTAATTCTCTCTTCAAGAAAGGAAAAACTCCATGTGCAGGTAAAAGTGGACTTTTGTGTGGTCTGTAATAAAGGTGCTCACTCTAATTATTTTGACTAATTATTACTGTCACGGAAACCACCAGCACAGCTTAGAAGTAGCGAATGAAGCTGTAAGCAGACCTTTTCCTATTGAAAAACATGCATGAAGTGTGTTCATGGATTGTGAAGTATTGGCATGTTCTGACCTACTTTAGATATTGGTAATAAGGGAGATGAGGGAAAAGTAACTTTCTGAACCAGTTGCATGCATGGATGGAATATAAAGAGCTCCTAGTGGCTCAAATGGGAAAGCTTTCTTTTTTAAGGCTATATACTGTAATCAGATACATTTAAGTTTTGCACTCCACTTGTATATTGATACTGATTTAGTCAGTGTCAGCACTGTCAATATCATTAGTAATGTGTCAGGTAGATGGAAATATGAATGTGATTGCATTAATAAATTCTTAATATATTCAACCTTTCATAAGCACATAGCATTACAATTTATTCGCTATTGTTTAAGACCATTTTAAATCAGGAATTGAATATTGAAGTGCTCTGTCAGTGTACCTTTCTGCCAGCAGTGACTGGCTTCAGGTCTTACTTAAACGAAGAAGTTCAGAGGTAAATTTAGTAGACACGTGAAGAGTCATGCTATATATTGAATATTACTTGAGGCTTGCTGCACCCTACGTAGTTTCTCTTGTATATGGGCATGGAAATGCTTCTAGAGCAAATTGGTTACTTTCCCTATAGCTACACAAAGGAAGGTTTAGCTGAGAGTTGCTAGTTGTTAGAAAACTTACCTGAGAACAGTCCACCACAAATGGAACTGCCATTTATTTGACTTAAATCTAGTAAAGAAAAAAAAACAACTCCACCAAGGCTTTAAAATAAATACTGTACATTTTTATATGACACATGTTATTTCTATTCATAAACCTTAACTAAATTTAGATTTTTATTAATCCAATGTGACCTAAAAATTTTGCATTAACAGCACAATGTGGAATTGGGCTTATTCTCTTTGAATGCAGATAAAGCCATCATCTTGAAAATAGCTCTTTCTGACAAAAAGGTGCTCTTTTGAAATAAAGTCTTATTCACTATATTCCTCTTAGAGTTAATGTGAATTTTAGTGCCTCTAATTTTAGATTGAAGTGAGGTCTAGAATAAAACCCACTGGCTGACAATTGAATTTATAGATAGTTGTGAATATTTCAGGCTTGAATAATAGAGCTGTAGAATTTCAGACACAGAGAGGAAGAGAGAATTAAGCTCCAACTGTAGTTTTAGACTATAATGCAATGGTGTCTAGGAATTCTTCAGTGTAACGAGCTAAGTAGTAATTAGGAGGGAACTGAGGGAGGGATTTTACAGAGATCTAGCTTAGGCATTATTCCAAATGTTCAGCATGATAATTTGATGGTGGTCCCACCTGCCATTTGTATGAGACGGCTCTTGAATTACTTTCATTCAGATGTGGTACAGTAGTGGAGTGAAAGCAGTAGGTGTCTGTCGCCCACCCACAGCTAGTGTGTACCCACACACTAGCCTTGTCTCTGGTTCACCTTCGGGGGACTGGAAAAGATTTTGTTCTCAGTCAGGCACTGTTGTTTTCGCTTTGCTTTGGAATGGTTAATGTTTTAACTGCATTTGTGCTTTGCCAGCACGCACCAATCCAGTCTGTACTGTTTAAGCTGTAGCCAAAAGCAGCTCTGTCTTGGTTAGTACCAGAAACTGCTACTTCAGAAGCATCAGCAGACTGGCTTTAACCTAAGCAGCATTGGTGATCAGGTTTTAATTCATGAAGAACTGCGATTATATTTTGGTTCTGACTGCTTGGAGTGAGAGGTATCTACTTTTGCACTGGCTAAAGCAACGTGCATTTGGACAACTAATTAATTGCAAATTTTTTTCTGGGAAGGGAAGGGTGACATTCGAGCTCATTATTGCACAAATTAGGAAAAAAAAACATAAATCATCAGTAGGAGTCTTAGACAGGAACATGCCATCAAGCTGGTTGACAGACTGTAGGCAGTGACAACTCCTGCTGTAGTTTGAGACTTTTTATGTGGAGTCTCAGTAGCAAGGAGATGAAAAGAAGACCAAGTACCTGTTTAGTCAATAAAAGGACCTTAGTGTTAGTGTATAGAAAAATAATGCAAAAAAAATAAGTTGGTATAATGTGAAAGTTAATTGATATTTTTTTCATAGCTGTATAAAATTCAGTGTCAAAGAAAGAGGAGAAAGAGACAGAGAGACACCATGTTTTAGTACCCTAATAACTTCTAACTCTAGTCTAAGATCATAATGTATGTGAGAGCGGGCCAGTAATTATAAGGTAATAAGTGGAGTGGTGGTGTAAGTGCTCTAAATTAAAAGGAATTCGCAGAGCTGCTGTAAGTCAGTGCCGACCCGCTTTCTTTCAAACGTTGACTTGAGAAAAGTGCTTAGCCCAGAGTGCAAGTAGAGAGACAAGAGAGAGCTATCTATTAATTACAGCACTCATTAACAGTGACGGCTACAAGGCAGCAGATGCAGAAGAAAAGGCACATGCTACTGCAGGCTGGCAAGGGGATTTCCCCCCCTTCCAGTTCTTGAGGAAAGGACAACACAAGCAGGTGGTCCAGTGTAATAAGATATGTTCACGGCTTTAACCTTCCCATTTCCTTGGTTTATTTGCTGACACCATATAGCTTGATCCTTCCACCTCCCCAAATAAGTACTGACTTTAAGTTTGGAGGGTAACATTTCTGCATATCAGTCTGGTGGTTTTCAAAATTCACGTCGTTTGTTTTCAGTAGAAACTTGCAGTAAAAATCATGACATTTGAGAGGTCCTACATAAGAACCATGGGCACTGATTTTATGGTAAATTTCATCCTAAGCAGATATCTTTAATGAAGGGTCAGGCTTTGGTCTCAGTTATCCACACTGGAAAAGAAGCAAACTCTCTGGATTTATGTCTGTTTTCCATTGGTGAATTTGATTCCAGATCTTGAAGCAGAAATTGATTTTTTTATTAATATTTTTAAACACAAAAATGTGAAAAGCGAAGACAAGATCTCAAAAATTACTTTGGAAAGTTAAGTCAGTCAAATTGTCTGAACTTATGCGTTTGCTTTGGAAACATAAATCTATAGCTCCAGGTGGGTGGCCTTATGGGGTAGTCGCTTTTCTGCTGATAATGTTTCTAGAGAAATGCTCATAAATGTCATCTGTACTTTGGCAGCTTCTCATAGTACTGTCAGGAATATGCTGGGTAGGCCATTTGCTACTGTGGTCTCATAATCGCAGCTGTAGCAAATGAAGATAGTATCTGATTCTGAGCTTTCTAATTATTATTTTTGTCCCTTGTTCTCCCTAGAAAATGTTTAAAAATAATAAAAATCTTGGGGATGGAATAGACAAAGAGGATTTTTTTTTCCCCTGTTATGTGATTTTATTTCAGATGCTTAATTCTGAAAACACGAGAAGTGAGAAGTAAGACACAATATCACCTTCCGAAAGATAAAACTTCTGTCTAAAATTTCCTCTAATATATTTTTTTTAATCCAAGAGTGGAACACATAGAATGTCAGATCCTATAGAGCTGCAGATATATGGGATAGTGACATAGTTATTACTGGTTAGTCTGAGGATAATGGCTAGAAAGTAATTGCAGCCAGAGCTGATGAATCATTCCACTTAGATTTTGTGAAAATGGAGTCCAGCCTTAATTAGTTGTTAGAGTTCCCAGTTGATGTACTACTCTGTTACTAAATAGCTGTATCTATAATAAAGCAATATTAATACAGAAAAAAAAAAGACTGTCCAAGACTTGCTTTTCAATTCTGGGATCAGATCAATAGATGATGGATATGTGTTTTAGTCAAGTGTCTTGACAAATAGTGATTACGGAGCAGAGCATTTATGTGATCAAACTTGGAAATATTTGTTCCTGATAATGATGGAATTTACAGAAATAAGGTACCGATGGAAAAAGGAAGACATTTAATAGCTAAGTCATATAATAGAATTTTTAAAATTTTTTGACTTGCTAGATGACAGGTTCAGAATTTAGAGATGATGTGAAGTTGACACGTAGCCTAGAGGGCAGGTGGAGGGGACAACAAATGGATTTGGTTTCTTTAAAGTTTTTGTTTACTGCCTGTCTGGAGCTTTGACAAAGCTCTGTCATGCCCATATGCTGATTACCTTCATGTAGAACAAGAGGTATTGACTAATGAATGAATGATGTGCAGTCCCTAACCCTTCCGGAGCAGCCTTAAAGAGCACTGTCTTTAACACACAGATTCTTCTTTCTCTCTCTTCCTACTACAGGCTTCTCTGCAGAATGTCAAGCAAAGATCGACACATTGATTCTAGCTGTTCGTCGTACATCAAGACGGAACCATCAAGCCCTGCCTCTCTGACGGACAGCATCAACCACCACAGCCCTGGTGGCTCCTCAGACGCCAGCGGGAGCTACAGTTCCACCATGAATGGACATCAGAACGGGCTGGACTCACCTCCACTCTACCCTTCGGCCACAGGGCTTGGCGGCAACGGGCCGGTCAGGAAACGGTATGATGACTGCTCCAGTACCATTGCTGAAGATTCACAGACCAAGTGTGAATATATGCTGAACTCGATGCCCAAAAGACTGTGTTTGGTGTGTGGTGACATTGCATCAGGGTACCACTATGGAGTGGCTTCCTGTGAGGCCTGCAAGGCTTTCTTCAAGAGGACAATTCAAGGTTGGTTATTCTTTAAACTTCTTTTCTTTCTTTTGCTCAAAGTTAAATAGTACAATCCTTGACTAAATCCTGTTAGGACTTCAGACTGTACCTTTTCGTTCTTCTTAGTGTTTGGTTCTACAGATGTTACTCATGAAAAAAACCCTTTGGGCTTCTTTGTGAATTCTGTCTGTCATGTTAAGCCCACTGCCATGTTTATTTTGATTATGAAAAACAGAAAACCACTGGAGCCAGCTGGTGCATATTCAGATTTGTTTTCTGTATGAGTTTCTCATGGATTCCCATAAATGATTGCTGAAAAGAAAACTTGATTATTTTCTGAAGGTTGTCATGGATGCCTCTTGAACAGACCTTGTGGCTGGAACACAGGGATTGTGCTTGGGTTTTTGTCCTAGTTACACCACTACCAGACTTAAATTGTTGCAGAAATCTGGTTTATTTTTGTTAAAGCACCAGTGCTTTTGAAATTTTGCAGTGGCGTAGTGTTTTGTGCATATCATTGTATTACTAACTGGTCTTTCACCCATATGATATACAGTGGCCTTAAACGGGTTCAACAAAGATCTGTAAGATCACATTCTAAGGAGAGTAAGTTGTCAGCTTTTGATCTCTGCCCAGTACTTTATACTAATCTGCTCTTGGTACCTGTTACAAATACACCACATATTTTGGCATAAATTAGTACGAATGGGATAATTTGCATGACCACTTGTTCTAGCTTCAGAACCAATGGAGACAAAATAACCTTCTACTTTGATTTAGATATCATCCTTTCTAGTAAAATTGAAGGTGCTTTATTTAAAGAACATGAGGCCAACCTTGGCCTGTACAGGAATATAATGTCACATTAAATTAAATTCAAACTTCAGAGACTAAAATTAGGTTGCTAAGTCCAAACTTAAGCTCCTCAATAAAACCTGCTTGATTTTCGTAGATGTTGAGCACCTGGAATTCTCAGGAAAGATAATCCGGTGGTATACTTTTTAAAAATGAGCTATATGATAAGGAGCATTAACTTAGTTTCAGTTTGTAATTTCACATAACCCAAAATTTGAAACATTTGGTCAAGATTTCTTAAATATAGTACTTCCATATTTAATGTAAAATTAATAAGGAAAAATAATGAATGTTATTTTAATTTATCCATTGCTGAGACAATGGCCACTTTATTCTCCTCTCATCCATTTTGCTACTGAGGGATTTGGGTCTTCTACCGGCATGAAGTACCCATTTTATAATGGCCATATAGACACTTAAAAGAAACGTGAGACTTCAGTTGTTCTAATGGAGCCCAGCGTAACAATGTTTGCAACCAGTAAACAAATGTACCTGTGAAGATTCCCAGAGGCCTGCGTTCATATGTAAAATGAGCGCATATGCAGAAATAATATGCTCATTACAAGTCTTTGTTTTGAAAAAGTAAAAAGGTAGGTGATTTCACTTGACCTTCAAAAATGTTTTCAGAAAAGCTCAAAAAAATGTTTCCACTGAAGCAGTTGGCATTTTGTAGTTGCTGAGCTTCAAGCACCAGCTTCAACTAGCAACTCTGTTTTATAAATTGTATTTAATTGCTATGTAATATGTGTCCTACAGAACTGAATTGATGCGCATTTTAGTTGTATTTTGAACATAAAAAAATGCCACAGAAACGTTAACTGATTAAAGTGTTGAATTCTGGCAGCAATAGGTAGCCTGAAATTTTACACCACACCACAGACAGCAAGTTTCTGGGCATGGAAACACAAGACAGGGACGTCATTCTCCAGATTAGCAACCTGGACTTGGCCACACAGCTCAAGTTAGAACTGGCAGCTGTGCAAAAAGTCTCAGTACGGTTAGAGCACTAGCTGCATCAGCAGGTGACAGTGCTGTGAAGACAAAAAAAAATAATGCAGGAAGGCAAAAACAATCATGAAGAAACTAAGAATAGGAAGTATGTTACCATCATAATGTCATGGCAGCATCTTTAGTAATGGTGCTGACTAAACTGACACAACTACTAAGAGTTTTCAAATACCATTGAAAATAATGGAAGCTACTTACTTCGGTGAATCAAACCATGGATTGTGATAGGTGGCAAGAAGTATATACGAAAAGGTTCTCGTGTTTTGGATGGGCAAATTCTACCTTTAAGCTTGCATGAAAAATAATTTACCTGAGGTTTTTTTTTTTCTCTAAATGATAGAATTTAGCCCCAGTATTTCTAGAGGTCGTTCTTCCCTGTACTATTTAACTTCCTAGTACATATCACATTCTTTCTCTGCTTGTTTTAAAATGAGTTGATTACTGCAGAACTGTAAATAAGAAAACAGGAAAACAGAAAAAAACCCCAACAATATATAAACACAAACTAGTAAACCAGACTACCTGAAGAATCAAATATTATGACTGTGCATATGTAAGGATAACATGTCTTGGCTCAAAGAATTGCTTTTAAATGCTAATAATTTAATTGTGATCAGTACTTAATTATAGATCCAGTGAAAAAGAACATTTGACTTCCCATTTATCCTTTCTTATCATTGATCAGTTACTAAATTAGCTGAGTTATAGAACCTAAGTGCTAGTCCTGTTGAAGTCATGGGCAAAATTTCCTTGACTTCAGTGAGCTAAAGACTGAGCTGATAAAGTTAGATTATGCAGCACATCTTGTGTTCATGTCAGGCCTGATGTCCTTTCCACTAAGTCAATGGGAGTCTTTCCATTCTTTCCATTTCAAAGGAGTCCTTTGAAATCTCAGTAGGTGAAAGCCACAGGCAGCTGCTCCGAAAGCCAGCACAGTATCTGTATACCACCACCAGCATCTTACATAAGACAGAAGTGCATCACAGGATACCTAGTAGCCCCTTACACAAGGTGAATTTTGCTCTAATGTAGAGTATATGCCTGTTTTTAAGGGTAATGGAGATTATAATTCCTTTTCAGATGACAGCAATTTAGTCTAAAAAATGTCCATTCCTGGCTGATGGATTTCTCCTCTTCTTTTTCCTGCCTCTTGCAATCCCTGCTAATTTTCTTAAAAGTAAAGAAATTAAATGAACCCTGTCTTGAATTATAGGAAGGAGTGATTTTATCTTTTTTGAATATATATTTTAGCATAGCACAGAAATACGTCTGGGGCTGTGGTGAAGAATGCATAATTATGATAAAAATAAATAATATTAGAAAAAATTAGAAACAAGAAATTACTTGGCTAAAAAAAACAAAGCCCACCAAAAAAAAAAATCTCAGTATATAAAGTCATAGATCATAGCAGAATCTAATGATGTTCTGCCCCCTTTTGTGACATATAAGGGACAGGAGAACTGGATGTTCTCTCTGCCTAGTACTCACTCAGCTTCAGCTCTCCATTTGCTTCTGGAATAATTTACATGGTGGCTGATTGCAGGTGTCTCACAGAAACACACACACAGCCAAATTTCCCCAAAATTGGCTTAACATCAGGGATAGTAGAAAATAGCAACGTCTAAATATAGTTACAGGTCCATTGATTTTTAGGGTCTCTCCACAGTTTTTGCTGTGCACTGTATTATCTTGAAAACTCCAAGCTTTCATTAAAAGAAAGAGAGAAAAAAGAATTTTTGGTTGTCAGCTGGGTGCAAGGTCTAGTGTTCAGCACAGAGGTCTTGTACTTATTAGATATTTTGTGGTGAATATTTAGTGTAAATACATTTCTCATAATTTTTATTTGCTCAGTTATAAAGACTAGATGGTACACATTTTGCATTAATAATATGTAATTACTCAGTGCCTGTAACTTAAACATTTCTGCAAGTAGATTGAAATGGTATTCTTGCTTTCAGTAGAAGGATGATAGGATTTACAGATTCAAAGACAGTTTACTATTTTGTTTTATTTTAGCGTTCATCTCTAAAATAATGGCCTGTATCTAGGCAACTTTCTTCTTCCTTCCAAATCTTCAGGACAGTCATCTTTGGACTCTTTAAACTTGCATGAAAATACAGTATGAAAAGCCTAGGTATTGATACAGCTTGTTGCGAAAGTGTCAGAGCTTACTTAGTATTTCCTTGGACAGTGTTTGAATTTTCCCCACAAAAGCTAAAATATTTTCATTCAGTAATCTTTGTAGCTCTTGGTGTTTTTTTTTTGTTTGTTTGTTTTTTTTTGGTTTTTTTTTTTTGTTTATATGTCTATTTTTATGGAAAAACTGTTGGATGAACAGTACTGAGACAGCAATATTCTGTTTATATGGAGGTTGAGTAAAGCAGTAGGTAGTAAGAAGACCTGCAATCATACCCTCACTGTCTCATTTAAGAGCTTTATCCCTCAGAGTTGTTGCCTGTCCATGTCTCCTAATACAAATGAATATTCCATCCCGAGAATGTGGTTGTCTTTCTGGTCATTATGTGAACTAGGCCCAGTCTTCCATCTCATTTTATGCTGATTACCTAAGAGCCTTCAGTTCAGCTCTACAGTTCTGCAGTAATGTAGTTCCTGTGGTCTTCAAAGCTTGCCCAAAGTAGGAGCTAGATTAAACTGCTTTGTCCTTGATTTACCTTTTTGGTTACTCAAAGTTGCTTTTAATCCCTTTAGTGTTCAGGTTTTTCAACCCTCTTTAGAGTGTTTACCCATTACTGAGCCAATTTGATCTGTAAATGTACAAACACTTTACAGTAAATATATATATTTTTTTTAATCAGGAAGTAAGTTAGAACTAGCTATGTAAATTCAGATAATAAGGTGACATTTAAAATGGGCAACATAAAGTTTGATTTGGAGTTGTAGTTGACCAAAGTGGCTTCCAAAGGTTAATTTGCATCTCCAAGCTGTCTCTTATAATACTGCACATCATTTTTGTGGAGGAAATTAAAGCAAATTAAGTAAGATTTTATGGCTTTTCAGCATCTTTACCAGCATCTAAGATTATACTTTTTTATAGAAAGATAGGGTGGAAGCTTTTTTCTTGGTGCAATAGTCTTGGACTTTTGCTCTGGTGCAAAGAAGGCAGACCTCCAGTGAACCTAACACTAAATGTTACC